CAGACCCCCCAGACAACTGTAAGGACCCACAAGATACCTGTTGAATCCAGCAATGAGACTTGGTCATTGCAATTTCAATGTTTGTTGGTCAAAGTGGTGATCACAGTCCAGATCCATTGAGGTGGTGGGAGAAACTGCAGGTGGTAGAAATCCCATGTAGTGAGGGAAGAAGACCCCAGATGTTGAGTGAAGTCTGAGTGTGATCTTTTACTGGGCTCAGGGTAGGTGGGAACACCTCCAGTACCTCCCCTGGGGCAGGGAGTTTTTCACTGGGTGATGTAATACTGGATCATGGGATATTTCAGGAGTCTTTGACACGTTCTAAGATGTTACAGCTGCCTGTTATGTCAGCACAGGTGGATCCATTATGGCCCATCAGCAGAGATTAATATCTTCAGGCTGTGTGTGCACGTGCGTGTGTGTGTGCGCGTGTATGTGTGTGTGTGTGTGTGTGTGTTGTCCTGATGCTTCCCCCTAGGGGAGTTATCACAGATAAGTCAGTTGTGTAAGGACAAAGAAACAACACCCAGCTCATAGCCTGAGGTGATAGGTGTGTACGCCCGCCCTCAACATCTGGATTGTTTGAGTCGTCAGCATTCCAGTCTTTCACACTTGTGGATACATTCTTCTTCTCCTAGGATAATAGTACCACCCTTATCCTAAATTCCCGCCTCAGTCTAAATTAGTAGGCATATTTGGGGAAAAGAGAAAAGGTGGATACCAGAATCTCTGTGTAACCCAGGACAGACCTCTAAGATCATCGAGTCCAAACATTAACCTAGCACCTGCTGTGTTCACCACTGAACCATGTCCCTCAGTTCCACATCTTCGCATTTTTGAACACTTCCAGGGATAGTGATTCCACCACATCCCTGGGCAGCTTGTTTCAATGCCTGACCACCCAGGTCAGGCATAAAGAAGAAATTCTTCTTTATATCCAACGTAAACCTCCCCTGGCACAACTTGAGACCATTTTCTCTTGTCTTGTCACTTGTTACCTGGGAGAGAAGACACCCATCTTGCTACAACCTCCTTTCAGGCAGTTGTAGAGACTAATAAGGTCCTCCTTTTCTCCAGGCTAAACAACCCCAGTTCCCTCAGCTGCTCTTCATAAGACTTGTGCTCCAGACTCTTCACTGGCTTTGTTGCCCTTCTCTGGACAAGCTCCAGCACCTCAATGTCTTTCTTGTAGTGAGAGGCCCAAAACTGAACACAGGATTCAAGGTGCAGCCTCACCAGTGCCAAGTACATGCTATCCTGACAGTTCTAACAGTCTGCTTTTCACCCTTTGTAGCATATCTCTATCAGATGGTAAATCGGGATCCCATCCTGGTTCATTAGCTGGCATAAATAGCTCAGCTTAATATTATTAAAAAAATCAGACTGTGGCCACTTTTGGTCCGCATCACCAAAGGTAGGCACTTCTGGCCAATTTTCCTGACATAGTTTTATAGCTTGGGCTTTTGACAACCCACCTGCTCCATCAATAGATTTCTGGTGTTGTAACAATTCATTTATCAGTGATGACTTCATTACACTTTGTCCTCATCCCATTATTATAAAAAAAATCACCTTACCACCAAACAAGATCCACACTACACTACTCCTGTGCCTGAGTATCTTGAGGTGAACTCACTCACAGGCCAGCAGGGCGGATTGTTGGGATCCAGGCAGTAGTGAGACATTGGATTGAGTGAGTTGGTTAAATCCCAACTGGGTTGCCAAACTGCCACGAAAATTTCACAACGGTTCCATGCTGACTGAGGAGAGAGGTTAGGACACAAAGTATAGATCTGCAAGAGAAATTCTTTATTCATGTACATGAAGTGTCTCATTCAAATCAGGGCACCCTGAATGCAGTTTTATGCAATTCTTATAACTTTCAAACATTCAAGTACAACATGATTTGGCCAATCACTACTTACCACACACACAACTATTTTGAAAAGCCACTATAATTATATGTCGTCATCATCCACGTGCTTCTTGATCTAGGTATCCCTGGAGTTGGTCCTGCTACAGTTACTTGTCTATGATGCCAGATAATGGGACGGTTTCAGAGGTGTTTGGAGGGGCTAGGATGCTGGCATTATCTCAGTAGTCCAGGGATATCCTTCCTTCTTTGTGGATTTTGAGAAACAAAAGGTCCTTATCTTCAATGTGGCGGCTGTCCTTCTCCTCCTTGCAGTGAGCTGGGGCCCTTAAGTTATGTTGACTTAACAATGTTCATGCAATATACAATGTAAAATATATATCTCTTAAAAAGTTAATACAATTTCATACTATAAAGACAGATTGGTACAATCGTTAGGAAATACAATTTTCCTAACAAAGCTCTTCCTGTTGCTCTTGACATTTCTTGCAAGTCTCAACTCCAACAGAGCTTTAACTTTCCTGATACCATCCCTATATGTCTGTTCAATGATTCTCAGTTTCTCCTCTGTAGCTTGTCTCTGCTTTCATCCTCTGCATGCTGCTTTTATGTGTTGGGAGTTTCATTATTAGTGCCCTATACTTTTACAGAGCTTGCTGTCTTTCAGCACAGTATAGTTACATTTACCTGAAAATTTTATTTATCTGTGATAGAAGCTTTTGGGTCTCAGGAGACATTCCTTTGACAAACAAGGAAAGAGATCAGCTCTAGAAGGCATGTCAGACAAAAAGGTTTTTTCTAATGATTTCAGTGGTGTACTACCTGTAAAGCCATACCTTCCAATTCTACCTGGGTTTTTTTCAGATTAAATGGTTTAAAGAGGCCCAGAAATATATGTCCAAATATATTGTAGTCTCAGAAAATCAATAGAATATGGTAGAAACTGCATTTAAGCAAAGTTGAATTATCTAGACCATTTATCTAAAGCAACTTTGAATTTTACAGATCTTCTATTCCTAAGATACATGTAGTAATGTAAGCATGGTATGTTTATCTTCCATTTTCTAGAAATGCTACCTTACAAACATTTTAATTGCCTTTAATTTACTATGACAATCACTCTCCTATACCTACTGACAGTGGTAGCTATAAGCTACCCTGTGCTGCTCTCACAGTGAGGAAGAAGTCTGAAATAACAAGCTTTATTCTTTCCTTTGATTTCTTTTTCCTCTTCCATGCTCTCCAGGCTTACACACCCATCAAACTCCCTCTCTCCACAGTGATGTAATATTTCTGTCACTCTAGGTCAGTGTTACATCCTCTGAACATGTAGTTTTATCAACATCCAATAGGCACAAAGTCTGATCTAAAGTTTGGACATGCAAAAATATATAAATACTTAATCGTGAAGTTCAGTGACCCACAAATTTGCAAATCTGAATGCAGGTCAAGGTTTGGATTTCAAGTTTACCCTATGCTTATAGGTGGTCACAACCAATAAAATCGGTGAGAAAAACAGCAAACTGTAAGGTAGACCATAGAACAAAGAGATTTTATCCCATATACAACAAATCCCTTCCTGTCCCAGTTGTCTGGATAACGTTTCAATATGATATCTTTATATACTATAGAGATTCCTTTGCTTTTAGCAAATACTGTTTACAAACATTCAAAATTTTAGAATTTTAAATCAATAAAACTCACAAGAAATTATTTATACTATAATCTCACAGAAAAAAACTCCACCATCAAGCACAGAATTATCCTATTTCTTTTAAAACTGAGTTATCACTGGGGACAATTCATTATCAGATAATCTTTTTTTTTTTTTTTTTTAAGTAGAAAAGTAGCCAATTAGTACTTAATAGTTGTTTAGGTATAAAAGTGTAAGTAGACAATAGCCAATGAATCCAGAAGATAGATAAAACAGGAGTGCAAGGTTAAAAAATACTAATGGTTGCTTGTGATGGATGTGAGTGAACAGTACTTTGGTTCAGGCATCACCAACAACTCAGCCTCAGGGAAATAATCCTTAATGTGCAGACCTTGAGAATTGTGCTAGGTCATATCTTCTCAGGAACGAAGGAGTCTATCAGGAGCTAACAACACCAGCCTGAGCTGGGACTAGACAAAACTAAAACTGCTCCAACTGCACTCCTGCATGTACACCAAAGGGAGGGTTGACTACAAGTCAATCACTTTATACTATAAATATCTGTAGCCCCCTTAAACCCATTGAGCTCTCCTGTATGGCAGCAGTTTTTTGTAATTTTTATTATTATTTAATTTTTATTCAATCATTAACTATCATTTGATTCTCATTAAATCATTAATAAAACCCTTTTAGTTAACCCCACAACGACGACTTCTCTTGTTAATTCACCTGTGACACCACTGTGTTATAAGTTACTTTTTCTCTGGAATTTTGAAGACGGCAAAAATACCTGCAGGACAAAGAAATATAGCAAGAGATTTTTATTGCAGTGCTGGGTACCCATTTCCAGCACTGGGTGCACCTTTGAATCAAACAAAGAGCACACTGCTGTTTGAAAACTGCGCTTTTTGTACCCTTTGATATCAGTTGTTGAATATTCATTTTACTGTCCGCTTGTTGCCTTAAAAGGTAATTTCTCTGCTTTGGAAGTGGGTGTTATCTTTTGGCTGGTTGTAACATACCTCCCCTGGGCTCGTACAGGGGGATCTTGCATCATCCTCACATTGCAAGGCATGGAGGGTCTCTCTGTGTATCCACATGGCACAGAGGAATACATTTTTATTCATAATTTGTTCCCTGTTCCCGGCCGCGAAAGATCCCTGGTGAGAGGTCCAGATAGGACCCTTCACCTTACAGTCTCCACGATACGCCTATAAGTTAGTAAATATACAGAAATAGTTCTTTTGTTAGTACCCTCTGTTCATTTTAATTTGCTTGGAATAAAATCAGTTCCTCAATTTTTCACAACTACAGGTTCAAGTTTAAATGGCAACGTTAATTAAGGGTGGACGCGTCTGTTATTAGGGCAAGTGGAGGGGGAAAGGCTTTGTTTTCTCTACGCGCAGCTCCATCTTACTTCCGTGGGCGGGGTGAAGCCATGCGAGACGGTTGTCACTGCTCCTTCCGTTTTCCCACCCCCGGGAGAGCAGATGACGTGTGGGGTCTCTGTCCATTCCTCTATAGTCCCTAGTCTCGGGGAGGGGGAAGTTCGTGACTCCGCAGGCAATGGCGGCGGTATTTTGAGCCGCCTCGCAAATATCTCGTCCTCTCTTTCCCCTCGCGTGGGAGCGCGCTGGCATGTAGGCCTCAGCAACAGCCAGGAGGAGGCGGAGCTGACGCGAGCGGACCGGCGGATTCAGGTCCCTCCTTCCTCAACCCTTCTTCCTCAATTCTTTCTTTTTCTTGCGCCTTCCTTTCGTCTTTCTCCTGTGCGTCGCGCGTTTCGTTCCGCGCCGCTGCCGCAGAAAGGAAGCGGTGGTGGCACCACCAGCTTCGTGCCCCACGTCCTCTTGCCCTTCGTTCTCTTAGAAACAGTCCGAAGCCATCTGCAGCGCCTCCGACATCGGCCGTGGGGTGTCTCGCTCCACCCCCTGCCTGGAGCAGGTACACGGACACTGAAGGGTGACTGGGGGAGGATGTGGACTCGATTTCTGAGAGCTGTTAGCGCGGTGGCGGTGTGCCCAGAGGAGCGGCGCGGGGGGTGCTTGGGCCTCCCCAAGGCGTTTTTGCTGCCTTTCGCGAGGCGAGAAGTGGCAGGGCGTCTATCGTTTTATCTGGCGGACTCTCTCTCTGACGTGATGGGTGCTGCGGTGGGAGGCCGCCGGGTCAGGATGGCGTACACCCTACTCCCTCCTTAGTGGGGCAGGCAGGGAGGGAGACAACGAGGGCTTCCTCAGTCCTCGCTGAGAGAGGAGCTGGGTTTTTGTTAAAAAAGCATTAGGCCGGCAGCTTCCACGTCTTTTGTGTTTTGGTGTCCTGGGGGAGGGCATTGGTGTGTGGAGGCGATGGCGACTAAAACGTAACAAGCTTTGAGCACTTGGTGGTGCCTCCCTTTTTGTCTGGATTACTGAGCTGCATTTAATTGTCACTGGGAAATGCCTGGGTTTGATCCGCATTTATTTCTTCTTTTTGCTTCATCTAGAACGCTGTTAGAGAGGCGTATACCTCGAATATCCTTGCTGGTTTTGTGTTGGTTTTTTTTTTTTTTTTTTTTTATGGTTCATTTTCTAGACGGGGATATTCAGATAAATAAGTATTTATTTAACCAGCCAGTTTAACCCCATCTAAGGTTTTATTATTGATTTAAAATTAGTATTTTTATTCCCTTTATTATATTAAGCAATTAATGTGGTACCTAAATGGGGCCTCTGAAAAGGCTGGAGAGGGACTTTTTACAAGGCCATGGAGTGATAGGACAAGGAGGCATGGCTTTTAACTGAAAGAGGGTACGTTTAGATTAGATATTAGGAAGAAATTCTTGACTGTCAGGGTGGTCTGACACTAGAACAAGTTGCCCAGATAAATTGTGGATGCTTCATCCTTGAAAGTGTTCAAGGCCACGTTGGATGGGGCCCTGAGTAACCTGGTCTAGTGGGAGGTGTCCCTGCCCACGGCAGGGGGGTTGGAACTTGGATGATCTTTAAGGTCCCTTCCAACCCAAACCATTCTATGAATCTATGAAATATTAGGGTAACTTGAAGTGCTTTTATTATGCATGTCACATAGTTCATAAGTTGTAGTTTCTTGGAAGTGCACTTGGTGTGCACAAAAGCTTAATTAGATTTGCCTCTCAAATAATCTAAATATCTGCTGTTATTAGAGTTGACTATGCCTCAGTTGTAATTTGGAACTAAAAAGATGTTTTAGTTATGAGACTGTTAACTGTGATAATAACAAAGTATTTATGTTCCACTTTTAGTTTGGGTGGGTAAACTTGCCAATAACTGTGAAGGTCAGTGGTGTAAATTACTGTTTGAGTTAACGCACTGAATAAAATAGTTCCTTTTTATATTGGGAGGTCAGGGTTAAACATGGACATCTCTGAGGGTTAAGACTTGCTCTTTTTGGAGATAGGAGAGTTCATTATATTTTTTGCAAAGGTTTGGTTATAACCACTCAACCAAAAGGTTGGGGAATGTATTTGTACGGTTGTGAGAGTGTAATAATATGTTAGGCCTCTGATCATAGCTGATTTTTATTCTTGTTGTGAAATAGAGATGAAAATGTCTGAGATAATGCAGCATCATGAGGCAGTTTTCTTGATTGAAGTATCTGCACTCCCTTTTCCTCTAGAAAAGGAACTGTAGTCATATTAATTGAATTTTGTATTTTTCTCTTACAGTGGGTGCATGCTTGGCTGCTTCACTTCTATGGGTTGTTGGAGTTGGCAGCCTTCAGAGATATAAATAGGAGCTGATTTCTGAGGCCCCTGTTGACAAGGTTTTATGTCTGAGTCTTTAGATTAGTCTGTCGCACTGCAGCCTTGTGACAGGCAGAAGCTAATGTGCTCAACCATGTGACCCAAATTTCTGAAAAAAGTTTGGTAAAGCAGATACATAGTGCTATTAGCTTGTTTTTCAGAGTAGTACAACTGAATTTGTAAGGCCTTAGGTACTTTGTGATCTTGGTAGAAAAGTTTGTAGGGAAGAATTGGAGAAGTCTGTAATCCGTCTTTTCTGAAAACTTCACTTTCACTGTTGATTCAAAATATTAAATGGCATATTTTAGTGTCCTGGTTATTAGATTAAATTCTGGAAAGTGTATTATAACCCAGTCAGGTGATACCTAGACTTTAAGGACTGAAAAAACAGAATTTCTTAAGCATTGGATAACAACTTGATCTTTTAATTAGCAGCATGCATTTCAAGTAGTGAAGGACTGTGCTGACAAAGAGCTATAAAGACTCTTGTTTGTAATATGTTAATACCAGCATTAATACCTAAAGTTAAACTTAGTAACGATTCAAAGAAATCCTTGAACTATATGTAAAGCACACTTTTATTATGGCTGGGGAGATGCAGGGGGTTTTGCCCCCCCCCATACATTCCACCGAGTAAAGAAACACAACAGCTTTTTATACATTTGAAGGAGTGAGTTTCAAAATTATCTATCACGTACACTCTTTGCCTTATCTAAATAGACATTTGGTTACCTAACTCCTATTCTTACTACTATAGAGTAATAATAATAATGGCCAGTCTTCGCGATCAAAAATCCGGGGAAGGTCTTTACACCTTCCAGCCTGCGCATTGGATTTTTTAGGTGAGACCCAGTGTGCGCGGAACTGAGCCCACCCTTTAATCCTAAGGTTCATCTGCCGGGGCCAAGCGAGCTTGGACGGTGGCAGCGAGGTCCTTAGGACGTAGATGGGTTGCCTTTAAGGGCTAACGAGCTCCATCAGCCCGGGAGTGGCCCTGACCGGGAATCGAACCCGGGTCTCGGCGGTGACAGCGCCGCGCCCTTACCACTAGACCACCAGTGGCTCCTTACTATAGAGTAGTTACATAAAGTTTTATCACTTCAAACAGCTTACGTTTCCCCCACCCCTCTTTTGTCTCCCTTGCAATGCTACATGCTAGAAGTCCTTCCTGCCTTCCCTGACAGTCCCTTTTGTTTATGTAAGCTAGCTTTATCTTAATTGCCCATAGTTTGGGCAGCAACCTTCTTTCAAGCAGTTACAATTTTGCAAAGTCACATTTAACATATAACTAAATTTTTATTGTATTTTATCTTGTCTTTATTTCAGTAAGTGGTGAAACATGCTAATTTGAAAGTGGAACAAGTTAATTGAAATTGATGATGATAGTGTATGTGTTATCATTTTTGATAGGGCTTTGACTGCACCCGCAGAAGTACAGTCTTTGTGTTATAATAACTTAGAGCTACAATAAAAATGAGTAATTTTTTAAAGTCTTAAATTTTCTGTTGTATCCACTGATTGGTGTATGGCTGTAAAACTGCAATTTCTTAAGAGGTATATCAGAATAAGTTTGAGTTTGCTTTCTAGTACTGAAACAAAGGTATAAACTGTTGAAGACCTGTGCCCACCAGCAGGCAAGCAGATTGATTTTACTCTTTTCTCCAGCTGTTGATTTACTTTGATCCTAGAAGTTTAGATTAACTAGACAAATGCTGCTGTCAATTACAGTTCTCATACTGTTGAGATATATGGTAACAGCTTGTAGTGTGGCTTTAAGTTATAAAAAGTATTTCTTTATGCACTAATTAACATTTGGTCTACTTGAGTTTTCATGAGCATCAGCAGACAAACATCCTGTTTTGTGGCTCCCCTTAAAGAGGAAAGCAGTAATCTGGAGTTTTCACTAAAATGTTTCCAAATGCTATAGGCAGTACTTTCACTACATCTAAATTTTGGAGGACAAGTGTTTCCTCAGTTTGTAGTAGATTGCTTGATTACTGTATTGTAGTTTTATTGACATTGGGAACTAAGGATTTGGTTACTATATCAGTTTTTCTACCTAGCTATTTTTTTCTATCTAGCTTTGTTTTGCAGTGGTCAACTACCAGTGAAGGTGAAATATTTTTATTCCTAACTTTTGCAGTTGATGGCAGAGATGAGAGAATTATCTACCTTTTTGAGATGCAGAAGTCTGCCTTTATCTTAAAGACAAAAGATTTAACTGGCTCTTTGGAAATGCATGGGGTGTGTAAATTAATGTGTTCAACAGTCTAAAATAGCTTTCCTTTTCATGGAAGAGTAAGATCTGGTCTAAGCTTATTTCAGAAACGCTTTTGGATCATGTTTTGAGGGCTTATGTTGTTGCTAGTTAATATTTAGTATTGGGCTTTGTATGCAATTTAAGCAAAGTTAAAAGACTTGTTATAGAAACATCTTCTACAGATATAAAATACAGTCTTAAAATGACTGTTGCCCATCCTTCAGTGTTGTTTTTTTTTATTTTTGTTCTGTTTAACAAATGTCATGAAAGTACAAACTGCTAATAATGGGATTAGCATTGGAATGATGTAAGATCACCATTACTGAAAAAGTGGAGCAGTCCTTTTGGAGTCTGCAAAGATAAACTATGCTAATTACCAGAACTGTTTAGTAGATACAAACTTGGTCCTGCTTGTTCTACCCATCTATCTGTGGTTTGGTGGGTTTTTTTCTATGCTGTAAGTGCTCAGAGGTTGTTAATAAATTTTTTGTTGGCCAATTAATTCAAGTTGGTCATAACCTGCGCACACAGTTTGGTGTCTGATAACTATATTGCTTCTCAGTTTTACTGTGTGTATTTGGTTTCTATGGTTAGGTTTTGGTAGCAGGGTGGGCCATGGGGTGGCTTCTGTGAGAAGCTGCTAGAAGCCTCCCTGTGTCAGAGCCAATGCCAGTCACTTTTAAGATGGACCTGCTGCTGACCAAAGCTGAGCCCATCAGCAATGGTGATAGCACCTCTGTGATAACACTTAAGAAGGAGGGGGAAACTGCTACGCAACAGCAACTGGAAGAGAGGAGTGAGAATATTTAAGAGAAACAACTCTGGAAACACCAAGATTGGGGAGGGAGGTATCGCAGGGTACTGGAGCAGGGGCTGTAATCCTGAGGGAAGCCCATGCTGGTGCAGGTTTGCTGGCAGGACTTGTGACCCTGTGAAGGAGCCATGCTGGAGCAGTCTGTTCCTGAAGGAATATACCCCATGGAAAGAAAAGATGGAAGGGACCCACAGTGAAGCAGTTTGTGAAGAACTGCAGCATGTAGAAAAGGACCCATGTTGGAGACATTTGTGGAAGACTGTCTCCTGTGGGAGGGACCTCACACTGGAGCAGGGAATGTGAGGAGGAGGGAACAACAGAGATGTGTAATGATCTGACCACAACTCCCATTCCCTGTGCCACTGGGGGGTGGAGGGGTGGGGGAATAGAAAAATCACAAGTGGAGTTTAGCCCAGGAAGAAGGGAGGGGTGGGGGGGAAGGTATTTTAAGATTTGGTTTTGTTTTCTCATCTTACTCTGATTCGATTGGTAATAAATTGAATTATTTTTTCCCAAGTTGAGTCTGTTTTGTTCATGATGGTAATTGGTGAATGATCTCCCCTGTCCTTATCTTGACCCATGAGCCTTTCATTGTCTTTTTCTCCACCTGTCCAGTTGAGGAGGGGGAGTGATAAAACAGCTTGATGAGCACCTGGCATCCAGCCAAGGTTAACCCACTAAACTATGATAATGTTTTTTACCTCTCTTAGATGTTCCTGACAATGTTACTTATCAATACAATTGAAGTATTGAATTATATATTAACATCCATATAGCCATCTTTAAAAATGCTGATATCACTTTTTGTGGGCAAGGTAAGCAGACTTACTTTAATTCTATAACCCTGTAATTGATTTTGGTGAAATGCCAGTTCTTAATGCAGTTCTTGGTTTTATTTACAGCATTGAAATGGCTCAAGAGACAAACCAGACTCCAGGGCCCATGCTGTGTAGTACAGGATGTGGATTTTATGGAAATCCTAGAACAAATGGCATGTGTTCTGTTTGCTACAAAGAACATCTTCAGCGACATCAGAATAGTGGTAGAATCAGCCCAATGGGTAAAGGTTTGAGACATTTTTTGTGTGTGTGTCTGGAAAATATATTGTATAGGTGATGAGAGGAATCACAAAATGTATTTCAGGAGATCTGATTGCTGCATACTAAAACTATGAATATCAAAGGGTATAATACTTTAAATCACAATAAAAATGCTTTTTTGTGTAATTTATTGTGGCCCACTTGGTGTTGAACCTTAATTTGGATTTCTACTTACCCACTGCTACAATTGTCTTCTTATACAATCCTTGTGTTTTGGTCATTGACAACATAGTCCATCTTTAATTAAGAAGATGCAGTAGAATGAGGAATGATTGGAAATGGTTCATAACTATATTCAGAACTACTTGACTAACTTATATTCTATACTTTGCTTATAATTAACTTCTCAAATTTCTGTTATATAGGGGCAGCTAGTGGTTCAAACAGTCCTACCTCAGACTCTGCATCTGTACAGGGAGCAGATGGTAGCTTAAGCAAGTGTGAAGGTACTGCTAGTAGCACATCTGGAAAATCAAGGTAAGACTATAGAATCATTTAGGTTGGAAAAGGCCATTAATATAATTGAGTCCAACCATAAACCTAACACTGCCAAGTCTACCACCAAACCATGTCCCTAAATGCCATGTCTACACAGTCTTCTAAATCCCTCCAGGGACAGTGACTCAACCGCTGCCCTGGGCGGCCTGTTCCAATGCTTGAAAACCCTTTTGGTGAAGAAATTTTTTTCTAATATCCAATGTAAACCTCCCCTGGCACAACTTGAGGCCGTTTCCTCATCCTATCAATTCTTACTTGGGAGAAGAGACTGACTCCCACCTCATTACAACCTCCTTTCAGGTAGCTGTAGAGAGCAATAAGACTCCCCCCCCCCAGCCTCCTTTTTTTTCCAGGTGAAACAACCCCAGTTCCCTCAGCTGCTCCTCATGAGACTTGATTTTTAGACCCTTCCCCAGATGGAGGTAATTATTTGAGGTTTGAATGAACTAAGTATATAGCAAGTTAAAGTAACATTGCAGTAAAATTGCCCTATTACAGAGAGTTTCTGCAGAGAAAAAAGTGACAGTGCACCTTACAGTTCTTTGTGAATCTTTATAAATGAGAACTAAATAGTGCTTGGTGTTGGACTTACTGCATTTACAAGGACATTTCTGATTTATCTGGGGAAATATTTGCTACAGTTTGCCTAGTCTCTTCTAGGGAAGAGAGATCAGGTCAGGAACATGAAAACATGTATCAATAATAACTGATTGGATAGTTTGATGGATTTTGACAGTTTAAGCTCTTATTATGTACTCCAAACTAATGTAATCACCCATTTCACTGTATGTAAACAGAAATGTGCTTGTTGCCGCTTTGCCTGTAATGCAGCAAATGACAGAAATGAGCATTTCAAGAGAGGAGAAAGTATCACCAAAAACAGAGATTGAGCCAGGTATGTTTGCAGAGTAATACTGGATACAACTGACTTAACAGAAGCTGACTATTTACTTTCAAGTAGGCATATTTCTTTGTGGTGATTGTCTTGAGGAACTGTTAATTGTGAATGCTTCTTGAGTATTAATACCCTCAGAATCAAGAAGAATTACTAGTGCCAGAATATAGTTTTCAGACGTGTTCAATTTTAGTACATAACTTTTGACACTTGAGGAGCATTTTTGCTATCAACCCTTCATTTTTAAAAGAAAGACACTTAAATTGTATCTGGGCTCAAAATGTTCAATTTTGAAGTCAGTGTTTATTTCTTTATAAAGTCTAGCAGTACAGTTTCTGCTGACTTGTGACAATCAAAATGGTTTTATTGCATTTGAAGAACAGAATTCTTAAATTCTATTCTACAAAAAGGATGAGAGTGGGGCAGAAGGGAATAAGGGAATACTTGATTTAAAATACTAATGAAGACTGCTAAAGATATCTGCAGTAGATATAACTGAAATGCTGTTCTGTGGATATAGAATACTTATGGCACTAATTGTTTAGTAAGAATGTTCAGTTTAAAAAAGTGAGTGTATTCATGTTTATTATATAGCAGTATATTCAAATTGGTATCTTAATATGCTTGTTTGATATCTATAGGTATTGATACTTATTAATTTTAATAATTCTGAAACAGTCTTAAAATATTAAAAGCTGATTTTTAATAGGAAAATCTGTTTGCTACAACTGAAGATAAAATTGTTTTGTGTTGAAAATTCCTGAAGGTACCACTCAACACTGTATAGATGCATACTTATCAATAAGACTGCTGTTACAGCTGATAGTTAATTGCTCAGTGTTTGTACATAGTTTTTACTATTTTAATTAAGTCATATTAAGTTAAAAATGTGACATGAACTAAATTACAATTGCTTTTACTATATTCTTTTTTGATTATGTATGGACTAAGGAGATTTTTACATGTTTCAGCTTCTTGTAACTTGTGCTCTCTGAAGAGAATTATTGTATGTTGCGACGGTGGATTGGGAAAGGGAAAAGGGGGCTCCAGGGCCTGGGGTTTTTAGCCCATTACCTGGAGGGGAAAATGCTCCCCCGCTGCCTCCCACTACGTGGTCCCCATGGAGCCCAACAAGACTCACAACAGAGACCAGCAGAGGAGCGAGCAAGAGAGATTTATTGTATGGGTAGGGATATATATAGGTTTGGGGGGGATTACAGAATAACCAATTAAAAGTTCAGGGGGTCTTGCAGAACCACCAAAAACAAGAAAGGGTTAACAACCAATAGAAAGGAGTAGATAAAAGCCAATGAGAAAACTTCCAGCTATCTCCTTAGGACATTGCTGAACAGAGATAATGTGGGGGACTTTGGGAAGAAGAAAGTGAGTTAGCAAAAAACGACAAAAAGCCATTTTGGAAACATGTTCACTTAAAACCAGAAGTTTTTAATGTTGTTTCTTATATACTGTAGATCCATTGCAACAGTATGTAACTTATAAATTTATACTTTGTTACAATATTTATAAACCCATATTGTCTTGTTAGGAATTGCTACCTGAAAAAGTGACAGGTAGGAAAGAAAAACATAGCAGTGGTCAAGTAATATCTGAATTTTGTCTAATTAAAACTGCCAATAGGGTTTTGTCACTTTACCAACTGTAAAGGGCAGTCTTCTATTTCTGTTGACTAAATATCCATTTTCTCATAACAAGACAACTAAATGGTAGTGTCACACAGCACTCTATTGATTAGAATGGGGGGGGGGGAAATCCCTAAAAGCAACTCAAGATAATCTTGCAACTTGAAACTCAGAGTTGAAACCAGTCAAAGCTTTGTTAAAGCTTGTGTAGAGATCATGGGGAAAACTACTATGGATTTTGAATGTTTAGGAAAAAAACCTTCTATAAAAAAATTGTCTTCTTTAGTATGTATCCTTAAATTTGTGAAACAGTCTTCAGCTGATCTAAAAGCTGAAATTCATCAAGTTTGGGGCAGATTTTAGACAGCACAGAATAGTGTCTTTGTATACTGTTTTTAAATTACAAAGGTTTTATCAGACATTTAGGATATAGCAAACATGTAGTGTATTTACTAGTACATCAATCCTGTAAGTGTCTTGCAGTCAAAAAAAACTGGCCTCAACTTTTTATAAATCCTTATTCTGTTTGGGTTAGTTATGTTTTTTCCCTTCTCTTTTTCTGCAGCATCCAATATGCATTGGTCTCTCTTCAGGAGGAGCTGAAACAATAGTAGAGTAGATAATTAATGTCACCTCATAAAACAAAGCTAATACTTTCTATGAGATGTAATTCTCCAAGATAATGCCTATCATGATGTTGCTAATTAAAATACTTTAGTTTTATCTGTAGTCTCACCCTGGCAATTCAATTTCATAACTGTCTATCAGATTGTAGGTCTGGAACAAATGATGTAGCCTTGAAGCAAAGTAGGTTTTGTGGTTTTTTTCCTTAAGCATTATGAAGGCTCATTTTATTCTGCAAGTCAAAGTTCTAAATAGTTAGGTCTGCACAATTGTCTTCAATTCTGTGGAATGAAAGTATACACTCTTGCTGTTTGGATTTTAAGCATCTGATTCCAGAGGGTTCTGAAGTTGACAAAAATGAAGCTTAACAGGCTTGTATTTTCTTTTGTTTTTCCCAGGTTGAGGTTGTAACCTGGATTCTCATTCAGAACAAATCAGGCCTGAAGGCAATGAATCATATCTTAGCATTTGAAGGAAGAAAGGCATGACAGATGTAACTGGCCTAGTTGGTTGTAATTTAGATGTCTAACATGCTATATTTTGTTATAACTTGTAATTTCTTAGTTCAACTTTCTTGCTTGTTGTAGTTTTGTAATTGAATTGTGGCATGTGTTCAGTTGCTTATCTGATGAACTGTATAGAAGTCAATGAAATATAAATACCTTTATATCAAAACTCCAATTCATAATTGAGCATTAGTTATATCATGCATTTTATAGGCTTTTGATCTGCTTCTGCACTTAATTAAGGATTTAATTTTAGTTCAGTCTTGACCAAAGGCAGAATATACCTGAAATACTTACTATTGTTTGTATTTGTGGGGTTTTTTTCCTTTCTAACTTATAGGAATTAAATGCAAAAAAACTTATCTAATTTCTTTATTTCCCTTGATTATTGCATCAGAGCAATACCATTACCAGGTTGATGAGGCATAGTAGAGACCTTGAAGAAACCTGTTTTGTTTAAACAGATTTTTAAGTGGCAATAAAAGATCCATACAAGAGAGCTGACTTACATATTGAGCACTAAAGCCAAACTGTTGTGAAAACAAGTATGTTTAAATAATCCTATTATATCAAGTCATAGTGTATTTCTAGCATTTTTGGGCTTTTGTGGGTCACTACCTTTCTGAATGAATCTCCTCTCAGAGCTGTTAGTGTTTCCAGATTTAATTAGTCTAGCATGCATATCAAAATCTTTATTTTTCTGAACCCAGTAATAGCTTTTTTTTACAGAGCAATGTGGTGAGGTATTACTCTGAAGCTACAGATGTGCAGTAGTGTTGCCTATGAAGAAGGTGAACTGGAACTTGAAATGCATATGGTCTTGTGTAAAATAAGTATTAAAAAATCTTCCACAAACATTGTTAACTTACAGTCTTATTCCATCCATGTTGTAGGTTACCCTTTCCATTCCTGAAAGTTGCCATATAATGAAATTAATGAGATGATGATTAGCTCATTTGTCTTTTGGCTCTGTACCAAGCCAATATGATGAGTTATTTTAGTGTCCAACACCACAGCTGTCCTACATGTGGGTTGAGACCCTGTGTTATGGGTTGCCCTCACTTGTGTTACAGATAAAACCAGTAGCTATGAAATATACAGTGTGTTGCAGATAATATTCTGAGTAATATGCTTAATATCTTATGAGATATTGAATGTTCAAGATCATAAATTATATTGTTTACCTCTTGTTTTAACATCTGATTCTGATTTGTTTTTGAACATGGCTATAGTATTTAAATGTAGACAGTTCCTTTGTGGCTGTCAATAAAATCATCAGATACGTCAATTTTGTCTTGTGTTCCAAATTATCTTCCCATTTCCCATGTCTGCTGTAGCTTGAGTAGAAGCCCCCAGTTGAAACAGTTCTGAAATGGAGCTAATAATCTCTTTGAAGTCTTGAACCTGTCTATCTTGAAAAATAAGATTGAGGGCCAAACTGCTGGTCTTGTGCTTGTTGCCAATACCATGCTATTGTATCTTTCTGAGAGATTTGCAACAGGCATTAAGCCTTGATGGCAGCCAGTCTAAACCATATTTCAGTGTGGTACTTAAACAGGGGTATCTGTTATATTGATGTAAGAGTAAAAATATTCAGTGTGTCTATTAAACATGTGAGAGATTAGTTATATGCTGCAGAATAGTTTTATCCCAGTTCATTGGCATCAAATTGAATATACAGTTTAGCTTTTTATCATGGACACCTAGGTCAGCATAGCAGTTGCAGTTTCTGAATAACAAAATATTTATTCTCAAGCTTGATAAAGCATAATAAATACTGTCAGTCTCATTTTCATTGACTCAGACTTTATATACAAGTCAGTTATGTTAATGTGCAGCACAAGAATTTGGTAATTTGTAGTATAATCTTCAGTTCTGGTGCTGCAGAAGTGCAGTATGTTTTTCTGAAGATTTTTGGGTACTCTCTATTACCTTTATCCCTTCTTCTATTTCATTTTTTTCAGGTCTTCCATGGTAGGAGTTGGGGATTACATTCATGTAAAAGTAGTTAGAATGCTTAAAACTCTTTTTTAATGCTCTCAAGCATTTCACTCTTCACTGGCATGCTTACTGCTTCCTATTACTGTGGAAGTCAATGCATTTTGTTAAACTGATAGGGGTCTATTTTAGCTAATTTGTCTGGGTATCGAGGAAGCTTCTAAAACCTTGTTATTACTTTGGTAGCCCTTTCTGAATTTATTTTATCGTCACTTACAAAAATAAAGCATGA